TCAGTTCATCCTCATTATGAATTGGATAATATGTTGATGGTAAAGCATATACAAGTTCTTGACTACCAATTTCATTTCCTCCATCATCATATTCAGGTTTTTCAAATAATCCTTCTGTTCTTATGTTAAGATTAATGCGTCTATTATTTCTTAAAAACTCTAATAATTAGTCATTGTTTTTGGTGCGCAGTCATTTCTAAACCTCTTTCTCCTTCAAAGTGTTTATTTTCTAAAGCTATTGAATTAGCATATGCTCTAAATGCAGATTGAACATCTCTGACCCTAAATTTGTTTCTGATTGCATGTTTGGTCAGTATTTGTCTTACTCTTCCTTCATTGAAAGCACCCTTTGCCTTGTTTAAAGCATAACTTCTGTATTCATTAGTTTTCTTTTCTGATAAGTAATTCCTTGATAAAACATTTGATATGGGTTTGTCTTTGTTGTATCTGAATTTCTTTTCATCTATGATTATGGACTTTAATTATGTTCTTCCTCTTTTTGGTATTTCTGCTAAATCATTACTCAACAGATAGTCTATAACTTTTTTCATCATATAATGGTATATATTTTTTTTACTTAATCTATCTTAACGTCTTTAAGTATTTGTTGTTAAAAGAATGCCTTATATCGATCTTAGAATATTTACTTAAAGATGAGTCAATTAAGTATATTAGTGGATGGACTGTATGAAGGATTTGCCAATAAATGTGTTGAGTAACATTGTATCATATACTCATGGAGAACCTGAATATGTGAAAATAAAACATAGTGAAGCATTGAACATAATACAAAACAAATATAAGATTTCAAGACTTGGTCCTAAAATGACACGCCATTTGAAATCAAGAAAACCAATACAAAATTGAATACTGTATTATGAGAGAGGGAGTGTCATTTAGTTTGAAAAGTATAGAAGACATAATAACAAAAGAGCAATAAGAATTACTATCTTTGACTTATGAAGAAGTAGAAGCTTACTTAATTTATGGAGTTAAACTTGATATTGAAGTTCAATTGGTGGCAAAACTCCCAGAAAAGGAATATGGAAAAATGAATGTAGCTATAGAGGGATTTACTTTTTGAATGACTTTGATGAATATGTAGATGAAGATAATATAGATGAAGTATTACATAAAGCAATTGAATAAATATAAACCGCTATTGAAGGAGACCAAGATAAATATAGTATAATAGGAATACAAGCCTTTCAATTTAAAAATAACAGTTATTGAAGACATTTACTACTAACAGAATTCAATTGACATCTTTTAGGATTATTAACGGTGAGGGGGTTATGCTATATTGTTGTCTATTGTATTTTTTATGTTGTTCTTTGCTTGTTTTCTTTTGTTGCTTGGTTTTTTGTTTTGGGTATGGAATGGATGAGGTAAGGATATATTGACTGTTATGATTTCAATAAAAGGGATGAGGTAATAGATGGTTAGTAGTTATGATTTTTGAGGAATGAATGAGGTAATAGATGGTTAGTAGTGATGATTTTGTGGAATGAATGAGATAGTTATGTATTCACTGTAATGATTTTGAAGAATGAATGAGGTACCAAATGGTTAGTAGTTATGATTTTGAAACATGAATGAGGTTATATGTGGGAGTCTGTTTTTTTGTTTGTGAATCATTTATGAGTTTTTGTACTGCTATAATTTGAGTTTGGAAAACTTCTTTGAAGTAACGTTTTTAACCTTTTTTAGGTGACCCACTGAGATCATCTCGTCCCTTTTTGGTCTGAAGCCTTTGCGGATTATTCGAGGTGGGGATGGGTCAACCATAGCTTGACCCATCCCTGGAGCCCTGGCCCACCATGTAGCTCGACCTTCCTGTAGGTGAACCAACATATCCCGGCTTTGACCCACAGGTGACCATCAAATCATCCAAGTTGATGCTGGCCATGGCTGTCGCGTATGCCTTCAAACACCGGAGCAATCGCAAGTATACGGCGAGTGAGTGGGGGCCTTGGTGTTTTGTTTGGGGCTCCGAATGGCCGGCTGGCAGGTAGAACTCCAAACAAATTTTGGTTTCAACAGGATGCTGTCTAGACCGCATTTGGGCAGTTTTCTTGAGCCACAGTCGAAGTAGAAGACTATGATTTCTTCAATGTTCCAATCTCAACAGCGGGCAGATCTTTTTAGACCGTGTGGCCTGGTTGACAGGAAACCGAAGCCTCCCAAATGAAACAACAATGTTTGCACGTATAGAATTGATGGGATATTATCTCTTCGGTATTTTTCTGACTTGAACTTTTGATGGAATAAATGGTGACTGCTTGATGATGTTTCAGACATTATCCTTAGCCTTAGTGGCTGGATGTAGAACAGAGCTTTTGGACAACTGGTTTCACAGCGTGCAACAAACTGACATAAAGGTCAAGGTTCACCTGAGCTTTAGCAGCCGCTCGAGGTATGCCGGAGCCTTTCTTCTCACTGCAGCTCGGGCGAGGAGGTTAGTTGAAGTGTGTTGGAGCATGGGATTTGTTGAGCCTTGAATGCTGCAACGTGTATATTGATCCAGCATCATGCGCAATTGAACCACTCTTGTTTATCCAACCTTCAGTCGTGTTCACGCTCTTATGCATGTTTGAAAGGTAAACCTTCGCTGGTCCACAGGTTCTTCTTTCACATGTTTGGATCGTGCGATGTGTACTCATTAGCCTTGCTTGCCTTGCTTTCGCCGAACGCCAAGGTAGGAAATGTGCTTTTCTCCTTTGGTTCGGAGCTGAGATAAAGACACGGCATGTCGACATGTTTGGTTTCCAGCAGCCAGCAAATAGATATTATGCATTGTTTCCTGTTGACCTTAAACAAAAGGAACCACACTTCCACTATTGACCATACGTGTGCATAGACTTACCGTTTTCTGTGAACTCTGCATCGTAAGAAGCCCTTCTGACCTTCTCTTCGTCACGTCCTGGCCGAGGTTCTGGGCAAATCAATGCCCCTCCTCACCTGGTGCTGCTTGGTGTCATCCTGCTTCTAGTGGCTTCGCTGAGTGACGTCATAGCCGTCAACATGCAGCAGTGGAAGATGCAGGAGGCGAGTGGAGTTTTCACACGGCGCGTGGGCTGAAAACTGAAAGGAGACAGAGGAACTCGTCGCTTCGCCAATGAGTTGGTCGAGTCTTCCACCGAGTTGACTGCAAGCGAGTCACAGGGGCATGAGCTAGTTGTTCCACTCTGTGAGTTGTTCCACGAAGCTAGTTCAGCCAGAAACAGTTGGCTCTGAACCTATGGAGTGCTTCAGAAGCTTTGTTTCCCCAAATTGAGGGTTTGAAGTAGCCGGGGATAAGGACCACAAGACAAGGCTGCTTGTTCAGTCAGTTGAAGCACCCCATGACGAGAGTGCTAAACAGTTGAACAAGAAAGTCATAGATAAGAAAGTTCATATGTCTCAAACCAGCAGTTCCAAGACAAGCAATGGTGTTCCCTGTTAAAGCCTTCATCATGGTCAAGGTCAAGGGACACTCCTGGCAATTGCCCTCAGACTTTTGTGAATGTAGGATAATGTAGGAACATTCCATAGATTGAGCAATTGGTGCAGCAGACCGAGCAACTTTTTTCAGTGGTCCATTCTGAAGAGGGACTTGAGGGGAAGCTTAGTCCATAGATGTTCTTTGCCCGAGCTCTTCTCCCCCAACAGAGATCCCAATTGTGCGCGAGGAGGGCGTTGCGCCCATGTCCTTGATGTTGCACCTCGGACGACAATTAAATCTTGTGCAGTGGAGAATTGACTACAGCGAGGATGAACAACTCCCATTTTCCTTCGCGCTTGTTTGATGAATTCTGGTGATTTTGTCAAGACTAGAGATGTAGTTGCAACAGATCTGCAGTGTGGCATCGCGTGGCTGCTGTTTCGACAAGCGGTTCCCCTTCAGAGGCATGGTTTCTTCCCTACTTGTCAGGTGAAGGTCTCTAGCCCTTCACATATTTGTGTCAGAGACTCACTTGTGTCCTTCCCTTCCCTCCGGTAGACATGTTGAGCAGCCGTGTCGGTCCTTGTGTCAGTTCACAATATGTCAATACATTGGCTAGTAGGCTGGTAAATAAATGGTAAATTCGTTACTGTACATCTCATCTCAGTCTATGTATAAGGGTTCACGTAAGAATGACGACATCCGATCCACGCATCCATCAAGTCGACCTGGTCAGCGACCTATCAGTCACACGGGTCGCGTCCACTTATCAGTCGACCTATCAGTCGGTCGACTTATCAGCATGTATCGTTCCTGAGAGGTCCTCCCAATAAACCTGAAACAGGGAGCATTTCAAGAGTCATGGTGGCGATGGGGACGAAAGAAGGACCCAGTCATGTTCCAACAATCAGAAATGGACGTTCGCCTGCCCAAGGGGTGTTGGTTACTTCACCTGCCTATCTGGGGGCCTTCACCCAACATGGACATCGTGGACGTCATGTGTTTTCGTGGACTTCACGGTGTGGTTTGTATTGGCCCGCTTTCTGTGAATCTGGCCCGTCCGTTCACATCAGCAGGGTTAGCACATTCCATTGGTTTTGACATGGAGCTCGACCATCTACTGTCCGGGTTGTTTGGCTGAAAATGTGAAACCGGATGTCTCCCAAAATCGATCACTGGCAACCTCAAGCCTTTGGACTGTCTAGACATGTTGATGAACCTCACTATTTGGTTGCGGGGATTTCTCTGTGTGTGTTCAACCTGCACATCGTGGCACATCTTCATGCTGGTCATGCAAAGTTTATTTGCTGTCCCGCTTTCCCTCACAACAAAAGCGGACTGTTCAGGCGTCAGAACTTCATTGGACTCATCGGAAATATCCTTGTGCTGCTAGCGGTGCTGGCGGCTGGGATTGAAAAGAGGGTGAATCCACCAAAGCGGTCGGTTCCATCATTCTGTTTCATCAGTTTCACCTATTGCCCAAAGGCCCAAAGGCATTTGAAAAAAAACAAGAACATCCAGCATCATCCACTGGTTGACGTGGGGCAGAACACGCTCAAGTTTCATTCGTTTCTATCTTGTGCTTGGGGGCTGCCTATAGCCACAGTTTGAAGCCAGAGGGTTGAGATTTAGCTGCATTTTGGGAAAGCGGGGATATCAACCATGTAATTGCTTCATGTGAAGAAAAAGGCCAGTTAGCCTGGAACAAGCGCAAGTAATTTGCCAGTGACCCTGGACCAATGTGAATACTGTGAAGGGACCAAGGAATACAATTGAATACATACATACACATATATATATATACATAAAATATGTTTTGCAGATCTCGGTCAAGGTGAATCTGTGAAGGCCAAAGTCCGCTTTACAAGCTGGAACTGGTCACAAACTCCGACCTCAAATCCACCTTGTCACCACCTTGTCAGGTGAAACAGGGTCGCCATTACGTGGCTTGTGTCAAGTTTAGAATGCATGCTTGCACCGTGACTTTACACAGCTTCCACTGAAGCCAGGCCCCTTCAGGGCAGGATTCTCTATACATCGTTCTCACGTCCGTTCGCTCAAAGAACTTGCGCGGATAGCAACATCTTTCCGCACTTCTTTCTTGGACAGGGGGGACTCTTCGACCCCCTTTCGACCACCACTGCGGTCGGGAAGCCCGCCTTCCACCGGGCGGGGCCGGCCGAGCCTGGAAAACCGGCGAAGCTGGGCATGGGCCGGACGTGAGGGGCCGAGCCTGGATTGCTTTTGTGAGGCATCCAATAGCTTTCAGCATGACCTGAAGTTCCAGGAAATGCGGCATCTCTTGTTCGCGATGACGGGCATTGGTGGCCTGGCCGCGGAAGCAAAGATTGAAGTCAAACGAACCATCATGAACCTCAATAAAGACGGTGCTTTTCTTGGGCCACTATTTTTCGGGGAGTTTGATCTCTTGGGCTTACTCCAAGCATTCCGTGATCTTGATTCCCAATCCGTCATGGTCATGGCTGCCTTCAATATATCTCTCACCAACCATAACGAACCTATGCAGATAATCCCAAATGTATCAGCAATAGTGTGATATCGCCGAATCCAAACCTTCCCTCAAGTTTTGATGCCCGTTTCTGTCTCCAAAGCATATGTTCGGGTTGCAACAAGCGTCCTCTTGATCACATCTCTTCCAATATAAGTTCCAATATACTATACTATACCGTCAAGTGACTCTGTCTTTTTGCATTTCGCAGGGTTAGTCTGCCATCCACTATTTTTTCTCAATTGAGTCAATCTTGGATCATTTTCGCTTTCACACGCCTTTTGTACCCAGTCCCACCGTGGATCAAAGGGCAAGAGGTTGCTGCGAACAGACAGTATTTGATTCATATGTGCCTTCTTCTGCGACGTGTCCACCCCGGTTTGATATGTCTGATGATGTAAGGTGCAAGACCATGCAAAAGCCTTCAGGAATTCAACTGGTGTTACCATGTTTGTTTACACTCCCCATGTGAAGCTTACATTTGACTCATTGGATACCTGCAACTTGCGCCATAGGCCTTCTCACCGGCTTTTCTTGCTGGGCAAACACTCACATCGTCAATGAAGGAGGAGCTGTTCAACAGGCGGCGCTTTGCACTTCGCTCGATCGCTGGGAAAGCTAAGTCGACCTCACTCGACTCAACCTCAAGGAATTGATCTGTCATGTGCAAAGCAAGCATCGCATGCAACTCATGCCACTGTGGGTGAACGAGAGTCAGCAAGTTCCACCGCTATCGTTCCTTTGCTGGGTGGCACAGGGCGGAATTTGCGGCAGTAAGACGATGATGCGCGATGCACGACAGATTTCATGTCATACTCTGGTAGGTCAAAGTGTCCAGTCTTCGCAAGATCTTCACTGTGATGCTCTCGTACATCTTGCAGGGGGCCCTGATGCGCCATCAACACTTAGGTTCGGCTACCTCGTTTCCCAGCTTCTGTGATTTAGACCAAGAACACCCTGCCAGGACATGTGTGAATCTTGTGCATGGTGTCCCGCTTTTGGGACTTCACGCTTTGATGCCGTTTTCCTTTGTGCGGAACCATGCTCAAACTGATCCGGAGGGTAGCGGAAACCATCGAAGTCTGTGTGAGCTCGTCTACCCTGATCATTACATCCCATGGCTCTTAGGTTGAAGGCCATTGCTAGTAGGTTGAAGGCCATTGCTATTAGGTTGAGTCAAGAAGAACAATTAGCATCCAGATGATTCTAGGACCCTAGATCTGATCAGTTTCGTCCGGCTCCGACGAAGTTAAGCAGACTTCAGATGCACTTCCGGGGGTTTTGAGCCATTGGTCCGGTCAAGGACTTCCCCAAACAGATATCACCAAGACGCTCCAGGTATGGTATATATTAGTTTACGTTGTGGTGGTTTCAGACGTCAATGATCAATGCATATTTGCCATACATGGAGTGCTTTGGGTAATTACAATTAACTGTTTGTTCAAGCTTTGTGACAAGGAGAAGGTCTTGTTCCCAAATAAGTTGTATACACTTAGACACATAGACCACTCCAAATTGATGCTTGGAACTTTGGACAGTGTTGCCAAGTATCTATGTCTCTCATGCCTAGAACCATCGCTATTTACACATGTTGCCAAGACAGTGCACAGTCTGACGCGGTACGTCGCCGTAGCCTTCGCTTTCGCGCCACCGTTGCCTTCTCTCGAATCCATGGAGTCGACCAATCGGCATGGGTTCTCCCAGCCGCCGTGGCGCCACAGGTTTCCCAAGCACTTGACCCCTTGGCGCGGGTTCGTTTTAGCTCTGCTCGCCTGGGGCTTAGATCTATCGAAGGTCGTCTCGGATTCCATCCACAAAAACTATATGAAACCCAGCAAAGAAGGACACATAGACCTAAGGTGTGCTTGTTGGTGATAAGGCGTATACCGTATACCTCTAATCCACCCTGTAGGGTCCTCAAACAATTCCCTCGGGTCTTTTGGTAATTGAACAAGTTGACCACATTTTTTTCAGGACACGAAGAGAGCATTGACAGTTCAGGTTCTTAATACACGTTCCCGCTCCTTTGTGTGTGTGTGACTGTGGCGCATTGGCTTTTAGTTGATTTTTGTCCTGCAGGTTGAAGTGGGGGTCTCCCTTTTCAATAACACACACACACACACACCCGACACACCCATAGAGTTGTACAGGGGTTTAGGTCCGCTGTAGGTTTGAATTCTTCCCACTTTTGCAGGGTGCCGGGCTTTCTTGGCACTTGTTCCAATGCCGCGGCTCCAAGACGAAGGTCCAGGTGTGGTACGTGGGGGTATGATCATGGCCCGGAAACTGTGGTTTCTGGGTGTGACTACGCCGCAAACGATGGTGAAAACATTAGAATCCGCTGGAAAAGACCTAGATACAGACAAGTTTCATGTACAATATGGTGTTCTGCTAGCAAGTAATGTTGCTTTGCCATTTTTCAACAGATTCCTCTTACATCTTCTTACAATCGACCAAGCCTTGTATGAGAGGCACAGCGTCTCCCGTCCTTCTATGGGGCGATGAAATCCTTTCCTTTCTTGCCTGGCATCGAGTCGGAGAAACAAACACATGAGGTGAAAACAAGTCTATTATGATCTGATCTCTTATGTATATATATATATATATGCACTGCTGTTATTGTGTCAACTGGCATACGGGTATAACCTACACGAGTCCATACGGCTAGTCCGCGAGGTCCGTCCCTCGATTCGCCGTGCCAGGTGCCGAAGCAGAAGATCGTGGCCTGCGAGGCCGCTGCTTTTTGGTGGGTTCCGGATGTGGGGACCAACTTGTCGAGCTTCCCGCAGAAGAAGGAGAAGGAGAAGGAGAAAGAGAAGGAGAAGGAGAAGGAGAAAGAGAAGGAGAAAGAGAAGGAGAAAGAGAAGGAGAA